TCCTAAGCTATCTCTATAGTTATGTTGCTATAGGCTTAGACTTCTGGAGAACATAGGGACCCCCACTTCATCATTCTGCTTCATCTATCTCTATTTCCCCACTCTGCAGAATCTGTTAATTCAATGTCTAACATTATGCTCTCTCTGCTTTTTCACATAGTAGCTTTGCCTCATATGTTTCTGTTTGGCTGTGACACCATCCTGGAGAGAAATATCAGCTGTGCTGCTGCCAACAACACCCTTATTTATAGGTGTTGGAGATTGGCCTGTTTTTCAGTGTAGTCCTGTTTCTCTGACTGTGACTGGTTGGATGTGCTCTCTTCATCCTCTGACATGGGAGCTGGCTTGGAGCTCGTCTGCCTGGCTGTGTTGTTCCTGGACAGGGCTGCCTTTTACAGTTGCTTTTTGTATCTCTGCTTCTGTCTGCTTGAACCCCAGTCGACCTTGGCAGGTAGCTGCTCACACTGAGCCTGGTTCTGCTAGAGCTTTCTTCCTGTAAAAAGGTAGTTTTTTCTCTCCACTGTCGCTACAAGCATGCTTAGCGTGAGGGATTGCATTCGAGTCAATGAGTCGAATTTAATCAACTGGTTTTCCTTCAATAGAGAACTTTGATCAATTTGACTGTACGATCTGGTGAACTGTAAAGTGCCTTGAGATGAAGTGATGTGAATTGGCGCTAATAGATACTTCTTGTATCTCTTTTTTTTTTTTTTTTTTTTTTGTGGGATTTAACGTGAGGAGGACAAAGATAGTCATCTGACCTAAAAAGGTAACATTTATTCTGGTCAGACAGGTGTAGTTACCTGTTTGAGGAGTAAAATATGCGGAATACTGGTGTTGCTAGCATGTGCAAAACTAAAATAAAAATAAAATCCAGGATCGGGTAGTTGAAGTACTTTTGATGAGCTTTGGCCTGGGAAACATGAAATGCAATCTGTACTGTTGTTTTTTTTCTTGAAGTCAATGTAATCCTAACCATGAATTATATTTTGCTAAACCATTTTGCATGAGTAAATCTGATAAAGAAAGGTTCAAATACATTACCAGTAAGTCAAGTATGGCTGCACTACGGAGAAAGCTGTCAGTGACTTGAGAAACAAAACCATCAGTGTCATAAGAAACAAAACTATCAGTTTCATCAGGAACAGTCAGGTGTTGCAGACAGAGCTACAAATTGAATCTTAAAAACTCTCTTTTGTTTCTTGCCAGGGAGTTTAGCGCATAGAATTTTGTGAATGTGATTTGAGTCTTTATGTTCAACCATCAGCCATGGATTATTCCACATGTTTGTAACCCTGATCCTAGGACTTATATGCAGGAGTAGTTAGGAAAGAAATTCTTGCATATGATATCATACCCAGAAAAGACATGAGCTGTTTTTTGGGACATGATCTTCACACTGATTACTGGCTTAGTTACTTATTTCATTCACCTGTCTAATCCTGCTCCCTTATCATCTCTGTTCATTTGAGTTATCTGCTTCTGCCTCTATTTAAGCTGCTGGCACTGATGACTTGCCAGTCATCAGTGCCAGATTATTCTCGTGCCTTGGGTGAAAGCTCTTTAGCATACCTGCTTGTGTTCTGATTGCCTGATCCTGACCCATTCTGCTTTTGAACCTCTGAGCCTGCCTGTCCCTGTTCTGATCTTTTTGCCTGACCTGTCTTCGGACACCTGCTGGATTCCACTTGTGGACTGAACCTGGATCTGCTTCCTGACTTTGACCTGGATTTTCCTTCGGTGCCTCCTCGTATCTCTGATCTTCTGGCTTGGACTTCAGTGAAACTCTTCAACACCCGCTTTGACTTTGCCTTCTGGATAGTCCTGCCTTCCTTCGTCTGCCTGGATCTACTCATCATACAGTTCGGCAGTCTTCAAGGCTTCAGTGTCTGGAACTCTCTGTGTGACAGTTTTGAGATCAGAGCCAGTGCTTTGATTGCAGTACAGCCTCATTGAGCAGGCAAAAATAAATCAGAAATGGAATTTTCAGCTGATGTAACATCTTCTAGCATTTGCTTTGAGAACAAGAAGTATTCATAAGCATAAAATTTTGCCCATGGATCAAACAGTTCATCAGTTACTAGTGTCTGAAAATATATAGTGACCTTCACCCCCATCAGAGGAAGAAGTATATCCCTAAGACAGACATTGGGTCTGTAAAAAGGAGGATTATTAGAAGCTGAGCCATACCAGGAAACTATGCTTAAATGAGCCCCCCCCCAAGTAAAGACAGATGCAAGAAGTTTGGTAAAATGCTCCTTTGTTGTTTGGCCTTCCTTAAGGCAGATGACAGATGGTTACCTAATTCCAGTGTTTACCTCCTGCTGAAGGCTGGTTCCCGGTTACGTCTCCCTTGCCATCTACCTGGTCCTCACTAAGCCACGCTTTCCGCTCCTCCCAAAGGCTTCCTTCCAAGATCTTCTACAAATGAGCTCACCTACCTAACCAAACCCAGCAAATGAGACCCCGCATTGGATTTCATGCTCTACTAATTTTCCAATCATAATAATAGAAACCCTTGAAGTCAAGTGGTTTCTCCTGTTATACTTGTTTGCTGCTGTGCCAGAATCTTAATCCACAATCATGTCAAAAAGAGCAGTTGTTTAGTAGATTAGCTGCTAAAAGAGACACTTCATTTCAGGGCTTACTGTAGATGTCCAAAAGGAAACCACTGTATAATTAACTCCATGTTTCACTACACTGTGTTTGTGGACTCAATGGCAACTGTCCGCAGATGTTTGAGATTCCATAGTCAGGCATATCAACGTTACACTACATTCCTAAAGCTTAGTTTTATCTGTAAAACGGTTCAATGGGAAGGACTATCCTACTTAAGCACCATGCTTTTTTTCTGCAGAGTAGTTCAGTGCATATTTATTAGATATATAAATAAATCTTATTCACCAACTACATCATTTTTGAGTGAGTGTTCAGTTGTTGACATGCTCATTTCTTGTTTTAACTTTCAAGCTTTTTCAGATCTTTATTTGACAGAGTAACTGATTGTTGACCTTCTGAAAAATATAATTACATCAAATAAATGAATATAATTTAAATCATATTTTAACTAAATTTAAATGCAATTTGTTTGGTTTGTTTTTAACACTGTGAATTCATAAGTTCAAAGATAAAGCTTTGAAGATGAAGCTAGAAAGTGTCTACACATATTGTATGAGACAAAGACATGTTTTCAATAAGGGAGAAAGCAAGCTTTGTTAACAAAGTTATTATATATCTTCATGTTATACAATAATTATGTTAACATGTTACATTATAACATCTTAACAAACTGTATATCCTATAAGACAAAACAATTCATAAGCAGTACAGAATACTAAAACAGGAGTTGGAATGTAGCAGAACAAGTTGCTCTTTGTGGGTGTAATAACAATCTGTATGTTGGCTATTTAAACCAGAGGCAAAGGACTGGAAGACACATTCCATGATGGCCTTCAACCAGCTGATCTGTATGGCAGCTGGAGTGGGTCTGCTGATGAAAGGTACGGTAAGAACCCCTGCAGATAAAAATGACTAAATGAAGCTGTCTTCTGCAATTATTTGCTGAAGTGTTTTTTTTCTTCTGGGGGGGGGGGGGGGTTCTTGTCTAATTGTAATGTCACAATAGGTATTTTTTAGCTTTATTATGCAGAACCAGAAGAAATTACTTTCTAGTCGATTGCTTTTCTTTTTCACAAATAACTATCAACTATTCCAGTTAATTTGCTAATGCAAGGTGATGGTTATTTCAACCTTTTGCTTTCTCTTTCTTTTGTTATTTTGGTCACTTCATAAAAAAGGAGCCATCTGACACAGAAGATTTCATAACAAACCAGCATCAACTTTTAAACATTTCTTGCCCACTTTACCCATGATTTAGTACTCAAAGTAACCGCCTGAAGGACTCTCAAAATCATTTTTTTTTTTATTAAGGCTCATAATCAAATTTCATCAGAGTTTACTGATCCAAAATTCGATTAGAACCACAATCAGAAAGTAATACAAAATGTTTCACTTTTCCTTTCTAACA